TTGGACTTTGAGGCCTAGCCTCAACTTTTTCAGCGCTTGACGATGATGCAACTTCTAGTGGGCCCACTATCTATAAGGGCCCCTACTCTAGATCTAAAGATCTCTACATCGGCTAGCAACAGTTGGCCCTTCTCATTCTTCTTCATCTTGGCCCAGGCCGACCATCTCTCTTTTAACTCTTCAGCCAAGCTTATGAGGGAAGCGCCTAGAGAGACTCTAACACAAGCAGTCTTTAGGCAGCTAGCTAGGCGTTGGCCATCAACCTCTGCCATGGAGACACGTGGAGTGGGAGTTTTTGTTCCGTGCGCGCGCTCATCTCCACGTGCTCCTGATGTAGGGGCAATTGCTACCTCTACCGACGTTTGCCTTTTGCTGCCCCAGATGCAGCACGATTAGGCCTCTTGTATTTCGGGCAAAATTTGACGATATGCCCAAGATCTCCACAGAACTCGCATTGGGATTTGTCCATGCAATCCTGCCAGATGTTTTGATCCAAGCCTAGGGTTTCCCACGGCCTGCCTTTCGGCCGTCCTAGGTGCCATCCACCCCTTTTGGGAGGTGATCGACTAGAGCTAGGGTGGTTAGACGAGGGACCTTGTACCTCCCTCTTCGCAGTCTCTGTTGCCGCCAACCCCCTGGCCACCCGGCCCTCGACCACCTGAGGCCTGGCGACTTCTGCCACGGCCTCGTCCTCCTCCTTGCGGCCTGTTTCCGGACGCGACAACAGCGTAGGAACTCCCTCTCTTTGCACTACTGTCCTCCTCGTCAAGTCCCCATTCAATATCAATGTAGAGGACTTGCTCTGCACCACCTTCCTCCATAGTCAATATGAGACTATCTTTGACCTTGACTTGACCAGAGATGGTGCGACACTTCCCACTTTTTCCCCTTTGCTAGTTCCTTATGTTAGAAAATACTAACTAGCATGGACTGGGCAGCAAAAGCAACAACTTCTCGACTCAAAAGACCGTAGGTCATTCCAGGTTGTTGCTTCTTGTCAAAGAAATGCCCTTGCAGTCGCTCGGGCAACGCGCGATAGAAGAGGTGAACTAGTTGTGCTTCTGTAACTCCATGGCCAGGCACAACAATCAGTTCGTCGATAGCGGTTTTCAGTGCATGCGCACTCCTCCAAGGCCGGGTATGGATCGTTTGGAGTTTATCGCACGCCCTCAATCCTATAGTGGAGTCCGCAAAGCGTTCTCGTAGTGCAACAAAGAAATCGCTAAGGTTGGTGATGGCAAAATATTCGACCATGTGATTTTCGCAATGGGCGGCACTTACAAGTTACCTGGCGAAACTAGTCGGTTCGTCCCTTAAAGCTCGAAAGGCTATCAAGACATGGTCTTCGGGAAGTACGTCCTGTAAGTACAAATATGACTTAATGCAAGCCTCCCAATTGTCAAAGTCTTCACCCATTTTCCCATTGTAGGGCTCAAGGAAACGAACTTTGACTCTTTCTTGGTGGGGTCGAGTCTCCTCTTCTTTGGGGGTTGCTATTTTGACACCCTCAATCGCACCGGTACAAAACTTCTTTGTCCTACCGATCGCCGTGCGCATCTCATTGGTGATATGAATCATTATCTCCTGGGCAAAGTGTTCGAATCCAGCCCGTATGGACTCGAGGGCTATATCGTGCCCACAAAGATGTCTTATTTGTTCTTGTTGAGCCGCGAGAACAAAAGTCTTACTATGGGAGAGGGCGTCAATTCTTTTCCCTATCTGTGTGTCTTCCCCCAACTTACCCAACAGCTCTTCTGCCGCCTTCATCTCCTCCATCTTATCTACCATTTCAAGGCGCCTCGTCTTCTCCCTTGCGAGCCGCAGCTTCCACTCCAACTACTTCTCCTGCTCCTTTGCCTGACGATGGAGGGGACTCGTTTCTCTCTCCAACTTCTCCTTGACTGCTTCTCGTTCGGCGTGGGAACTGTCAACTCATCTTCTTTAACTTTCCCCAGGGACAATCCGACCACCCATTATTTTACAATATTCTCCACCTCTCCCGGTGGAGCTAGAGCCCTACTCTCTTCTTCTCTTTCCTCCTTCCTTTCTTTTGTGCCCACTGCTACCTGCTTCCCTGTCCTCCTCTGCAACGGGGTCCCTTCTTCCTAAGTCTCCTCCTCTTCTTCGGCCAATTCCTAGGCCAGCTTCACCTCCTGCTCTTTTTTCCACACCTCCATCTCCTACTCCATCTCCATTTTTTTCTTTCTGGTCGCTTCCTCTTCTAACAGGATTCTTGGCCTGTTTCTCCATAACTTTCTTCTTTTTTCTTTCCCTCCGCTCTTGGAGAATTGCGGCAGCCTTCTCCTCTTGTTCTTTACTATATGGTGAAGTTTGGGGTCCGAACTATGTAGTCACTGCGCTGCAAGATGTTCTCCAAAATCCTAACGAAAAGAGGAAACGGAGCAGGGCCCCCCAGAAGGAGAGGCCCATGATGAAGGCGAACATAGGGTAGTCATCCATGTTGGAGAAGGGCACAATCACAACCAATTCCCCTCCTCAACACTTAGGCTTACCACCTAGACATCGACTCTCTAAAGGTCCTCTCTTCCACCTTAGCCAAGCTACCACCGTCGTCAGATGCTTCCGCAACCACAGTCCAATCTCTCCACAACCGTCAGATGCCCGTGCACCCACAGTCCAATCTTGTCTGGCTTTGGCTTCCAATTGCTCCTCTGTCGACTATTCGATACTAGTCTCCTACTAGTCTGTCACTACAAAACTACTGGCTGATCAGGCGGCATTTAAGGAGATTTCCCATAACTCCTCAGGAATTATTTAACGTCGCAGTCAGGACGACGATCACAACCGGAGTTCTCTCAAGACTCGTACAAATTGGACGCACGATCTCAAGCTCGGAGTTCAAGTATAGTGTACCACCCACAGCAGCCTGCCGGTCTATACCGGTCCTTGGGGGCTTTTCCCCAGGTCGCCTGGCGTCAGATAAACCTCACCCCTACTAAGTCCCGTGCAGATATCCGCCCCTCAGCCTCCATAAGACCACATGCATGGAACCTATACAACCTGGACAGGAGTGACTCAATGCAAAAAGACATGGCAGACTTTGCAAAACTCTATTGCAGCGAGTACCGGGTGAGTGTGCTCATCCACAGAGCATAAAGGACAAGGGCTAGGGCTTGAAGGGTTTATACTGCTCCTCGCTCCGTATTCCAGCTTGGTCAACTGTGCCAATCAAAGCTCGCCGATCGACACCTTAACCACCCTGGTCAACCCTGGTCAACGACAGTCAACGCCCGTCAACCCTTTGACAACCCGGCTATGGCGGCTTCCTCTCCCTGTCACCTTCAGCAACTTTGCCCTCTTCTTCTTCATCCTCAAGCTCGGCTATAACCGACTTCTTCTTCCTCTCCGTCTGCTATGGCCGCTACCACCTTCTTCTTTGTCACCTCTCTTTCTCTCCCGTCATTCTTCTTCTCCTCCAAGCTGGCAGCTATGGCTACCATCCACTATGGCGGTCTTCCTTGCTCACGCGCGTCCCTCTCTTTGCGTCAGTCAGCTTCTTCTTTGCCTCCTCTGACTTCCGCGATGCTTGTGCAGACAATGGGAACCGCCTCTGATACCACTGCAATCAGACCTGTCTCGATTTCACTTCCAACATGCGTACATGCAGGTGCCGATGGCAAAACAACTTCCTCAAAGTAGAATCAGCAGCAAGCGTGAGATGGCTCAGTGCGCCCACACAGAAAACTCAGAGATATGGCCTTCGGCCACAAACTCAGCTCAAGTCAACTTGTCACATCTTGCGGCTATGGCGTCTGAGCACCAGTCTGAAATTCCCACCCGAACACTATATCCACCATCAGACACACTCACACTCACTCACACACATGTACACGCACTAGGATCTACCCTGAATGTCTACACACACATACACACACACACACACTAACAGCTGACTTCGTCACACTGGCGGCTATGGCCGCCGTCGTCTTCCTCCTCACTAGCTGCTATGGCCGCTCGCCCTCTTCCACCTTCGGGATTCCTGCTGATCACCTGTGACCCAACGCACAAGTCACTCAAGCAACACGTCCACGTAGCTCACAAGCGAATGAACGAATGGCTGGGTGCTGCCTCTTTATTTTTACTGTTCCGTTTGGTGGTCTGCCCTGCCCGGTCCCAGGCCCTTGGATGTGCAGTTCCACTCTGGTACTTGCTGCTGGACTGGGACTGCCTATACCTATGCCTCTTCGGGGCTGACTGGGGACTCTTGACCTTTCGAAGACCGATGGTCTGCCTCCTACTGACTCCCAAAGGTCAAGTTGGCTCTTCAGAGGACGTAGGGCCAGTTGACCTCTGGAAAGGTCAACGGTAAACTTGCCTTTTCCGGAAACTTACGGACGACCCTAAGACTCCTAAACGACTGACCTACGGATCAAACCCCACATGACCCAACTCATACACACAAGACATTGATACACGGTTTTGGGGACAGGTCACGGGTTCGAAACACACAGGGTCAACGGACAGCTGTACAGTGGGCTAGGGGAGGTCTGGGGATCGAGCCCTGATATCTATCTGCAATCATCGCACTAACTGGGTGAAACCCTTTCACATAGCGGTCTCAGAGAAGGAATAGTCAATTCATGCACTGATTGAGCCAACTATACTGATTTAGCCCACTATACTGATTAGCCAACTATACTGATTTAACTTGTTAGAATGATTTATAACTACGGCTCAACAATCTGTAATTCTGCGAAATAAGGACTCGTTATTGATAACTATTATTCAACTATATATGAAGTTATAAATATGAAGTTATAAACCAAGGGACGTCAATCTTCATTTCTGTGAACTAAGGAGTGGTTAAGGGCATAAAGCAGCATTGTGAATCTGTCTAACCTCAGAACTGAATTCTCAAATAAAAGTGTCAAGCGAAATTCGAGAATTCTCTGATGAAAAATCTCAAGCAAGATTTGTACAACAGGCATTACAAACAATATTATCATATTTGCCTCCGCGACTTTCTTCGCTGCTATTACCTTTGCCACTTTTGCTCCGCAAGCAGCAGCTAAAACACATGCCCCAGTGGAAATGTTGACAGTGTTGGCACCATCACCGCCCGTTCCAACGATATCCAGTGTGTCATCTCGAGCTGCAACCGGAATGCAATGCTGACGCATGGCTTTCGCCAACCCAGAAACCTGTGCAAAACAAGACAACCATTACATCCACTGCTTTTCACCAACCAAAGGGTCTTGCTCCACTACTCAACATTCAACACATATCCAAACTGTCATGTACCATATACACTTGGCCTGATCGAAGATTCTGAATGTATCAAGACCATTACCGGGTGCAGAAATATTTCAAGGTGTGCATCCGCTGTTTTTCACCAACCAAAGGGCATTGCCCCACTTCTCAACATTCAACACGTCTCCAAACTGTCATGTGTACCATATACACTTGGACTGATCGAACATTTTGAATGTATTGGGACCATTACTGCATGCGAACACATTTCAAGGTGTGCAGTGCAGCGAGGCCCAAAGTCCTCCTTTATATGAAAACCAAAGACAAATGTCTAAATGTGGTTGGTTAAGTCACTTCAGTATAGTCAAAATGTAGTAAAAGTGCCTAGTCAAAATGTTGCGAGAATGGGATGACAACTTCGTCCAAACGTAGTCAAGATGCACTCAAAATGTGGTCAAAATGTGGGCCAAAATGTGGTCAAGATGAGCTCAAAATGTAGTAAAAACCGTGGGCTAAGGGCCGTGTTGGCCCCTGTGCAAGGATGACATGCACAAATGGAGAGGTTGTCCAAATTAAATATCATTAACAATTAAAAGCTGTGGTCCAAAATGTGGTCAAAGTCAGTACCTTGAGAACCTTGGTCAGCACATCGCAGAGACCTGATTCCAGCACAGGTGCATATGTCTGGAAATATTGAGAGAAGTAAAGGCATGTCTTTTTTCCCGGGTTCCCTACCGTCTTCACCAGAAAATATTACCCCGGGCGTTATATTCAACTTACCCTAAAATATCAGATTTTTGTTTTCACTCAATTTCTTTTTGGATAGAACACCCCTTCAAATATAACACCCGGGCATTATATTCGAATAGCCCGCTCGGGTGTTATATTTGAACGCGCCATGGGCAGAGTGCCTTGCAGATGGAGTATAAATGGTTTCTAATGGGGGGTAAGGAGGGTATGCATGGCTTTCAAAGGGGGTTGAAAGGGATTTTGACTTCCAAGGGGTATGTTTCGGTTTGGTTTTTTGTTTTCTTTTTTGTTTTTTGGGAAGGCCTGGTATTGGCTGCAAGCGTGGGTGGTAAGAGCATACCCTCCTGGCAGATTTGTTTTCTTTTTTTATTTCCGAATTTATGAGGAATTCTGAAGTGACCCGCAGCCAAAAGTTGGTTGCATAGCAATTGTAGACAACATATTTTCTTTACAGAATTTTTTTATTTTTCTTTTTTGAATTTCTGGGCCCCATTGAAGTTGCCACCAATTTACGGAATATAATGCCCCGGCGTTATACGAATGGGTGTTATATTGGTATACAACGCCCCGGCGTTATTTTCGGGTGAAGACGGTAGTCTATGGGGTGGACCCCACTGCTCGGCGGGTGGAAAAAGTGGTTGGCCAGAAAAAGCGGTGGAAAGACGGCGGAAAGACTTTGGCGGGTTTCCATGGGACCCCACCGCCAAAGTATTTTCAAAGCTCTGGAAACAGCAAAACATACCCGAAAAGGAAAAGTTGGAGGGTCCCCCCCCCCAAGAGGAAAGTTGGGATGGGATTGTGGTGCACCAAATTCGTCCGTGGCTGGACCAGGACACACAACGGCCCACATCGGAACTGTGCGACAGGGCAGTGCATGTCCGAGGGGGATTGCCCGCCCATGAAACGGTCTGCCGTGACGTGAGCTGGACCATGCTCGCTCGGCATCTTCTTTCCACAGGAGAACATGACCCCCCCCTTAGTCGGTTGGAAGGCCTTTCTGGAAAGGTCATGGCGATTCGGTTTCCAGGCTTCTGACACCTTTCCCGCAACGTCCTTCCACGGTCTGTGGGGTCTGAAAAACCTTCCAATTCTGAGTTTCCATCCTCTTTTCCACATCAGTCACCGGCCTGGAAAGAAATTTCCAGGAAGCTGAGCAGTGCGGTCCGACCCTATGTGTCCCGGCGTTATTTTCGGGTGAAGACCGTAGTCTGTGTATACAACGCCCCGGTGTTATTTTCGGTAGCGTATGTATATAGAGCCTCGCTCCACTACTCACCAAATGTGCAAAATGAGAATGAATCTTCCGCTAGAACATGGGAAGATACACCGCCATATTTTCTGTCTTTCGTGCATGTGGATAGTGGAGCGAGGCCGATAGCCAACCGGTAGAACTACAAAACATGGAGATGGAGGTATTGGAAGTGCATGTCCTCGCACTAAAGTCGCACACCTGGAAGGAGCTTGAGAGATACCTGAGCTTGAGGTTTCCACAAGGTAGAAGCGTCAGCCCAAATAGTCAAAGACCTGGACAGATGATAGGTGACGCGTCGATTGGAAGGAAGCTGGACAATATATGCGAGCATATGAGAGAGTTTCGTGAGAGACTGACACGATGAGAAGGCATTGCGAGAAGTATGGAAAAAGTCCACGAAGAGACAAACAGACAGAGAGAGACAGACAGACATCTACCCACCTCCTCAGGAGTTTCACCCTTTGCCCTGAGCAAGACAAGGAATGCCGACATCTGTGCTGGCTCTGCCCCTGCAAGTAGCCCCTCCATCGTGTCCTGCGCCTGCTGTTCCGTCAAGTTTTCACGCTGCAAAAGGAGCTCGATGACCTGCAAGTAAAGGGATGATCATACAGTCAGATTTCAATGGAGGTATGGTATGACAGATGGTTAACAGAGTCCTGACCAGATGGTTAACAGCAGGCGGAATTTTGACAGATGGTTAGCAGAGTCCTGAACAGATGGTTAACAGAGTCCTGAAGTTTGAGCGTTTTCTCATGGCTAGAACGTTATCCCCAAATGCCTATTTCAGTGCTTGGGAAGTCAACCTATGGTTAACCCCCAGTTGTATGGGGATTGACGAGATCGTCCAAGAAGGTGACCGGGAACGAAAATGGGACATGGAATGGGAATGAGAAAGTGGATATGGGAATGAAAATAGAGATAAGAATGGAATTACTAAATGCGGCAGGGAAAGGAAATGCGGAAGGCAGTGGGGGCAGGGGTGCGAACAGGGATGGGACCAGGTATCGGGCCAGGGATGGGGATAGGGATGGGGACGGACAGGTATGGGAAAGACAGAGATGGGGACAGGGATGGGGACAGGGATGGGGACAGGGATGGGGATGGGGACAGCAATGTGGCAACGGATGGGAACAGGGATGGGGATCGGAATGGGAACAAGAATGGGAACAAGAATGGGAACAGGAAATGGACACGAATGGATACCTGTGGGAACAAGGTTGGGGACAGAGATAGGGACAGGAATGGGAATGAGAACAGGGATGGGAACAGGAAACGGACACGAATGGAGACCTGTGGGAACAGGGTTGGGGACAGAGATAGGGACAGGAATAGGGACAGGGATGGAACAGGAATAATGACATGAGTGGTGGGGACAGTAATAGGACAGGGATGGGACAGCGCGGGGGCCAGTGACGGGAACAGGCATGGGGACAGGGATGGAGATAGGTATGGGTACCGGGTTGGGGATAGGGATGGGGACAATAATGCTTGTAAGTAAACGATGAGGATAGCGATGAGGACATGATGGAGACAACGATGGGGACAGGAATGGGAATGGAAGTCATAGCGAAAAAAAGTAGCGATGGGGACAGCGATGGGGACAGCGATGGGGACAGGAATGGGAATCGCAGTGACAGTGAAAAAAAGCAAGAGGATTAGCTTCGGGGACATCGATGAGGAACGGGAAATAGAAACGGAGTAGTTCGCCCAAGGAATGGCAAGGACCATCGAAATGTTATAAGCGCGCAGCAGTATTCACCCGAGTGGAAACACTCCATAGTCTTGGAGAATTCCCCTGAGCGCTGGCTTACAGCGAGCACAGCTTCACGGTCTGCAAAAGGTTGGAGCTGTTGTTTGAGATGGGGTAAACAGATCGGTCGATTGCATTCCGTCTGGTGTGGGAGGTTGATAATCTGCTGCTTTTTTTTCCCGTCACAGGGACCCCTGGGGGAACTGGTTGATGCCCGACCGCAGCTTGGGTTAAGATGGATTATCACATATAGTATCATTGGTTAGGGAACTCTGCGGACTGCAGGGTTCCGCCTCCTGATGAGTCAGTGACACTCCAACGAGGCGGTCTGTCACAGACCCCCGTTTCCTATCATTTTTCCCCTTTCTGCCTATGGTTCAGTTGCACATTTTTGTTTTCAATGATTTATACCGAAGTGGGTAGCCCCTAACATTATTCTATCCGTCCTCAACGTTCGAACTCATGATCTGCTGATCAACAATTGCATGTGTGTAGTACTGTGTACCATTCTTTCCTCTCTTTTCCCAACATTAAAAAGAGGTTTTAAAAAAAGATTGAGAAGCCTGCCAATAAACAATAATGACCGCAGCGGAGCAGGGAGAGAGAGAGAGAGAGAGAGAGAGAGAGAGAGAGAGAGAGAGAGAGAGAGAGAAGGATTGAAGAAGAGATTGATAGAGAGAGAGAGAAGGATTGAAGACGAAGTTCGACCTCTCGCAGTTCCGCGATTTTGCCAGGCATTGCGGCCTCTGCAACCTCCGTCGCACTAGCGCGGACAGAAACATCCCCACCATAGCTTCTCCTTCTTTCGTCGGATCGTCTTTGTCGTGTTTCTTCCTCGTTCTTGTGACAAGGCGGCACGGACCCACGGTCGCTATGGGCGGTGCCGAACGCACCAACTCCATTACGGCTACTTAGCGCACAACAGCTCGACTTGAGTTCACTGCAGAGCACTCTTCCTCCTCCTCCTCCTCCTCCTCCTCCTCCTCCTATTCGTCGTCCTCCCGCTGCCGCTGCTGTAACTCGTCCAATTTGGCCACCAAAACTGGCCACCCAACTCTGAATTTTGACTCGAACGAATGGCTTCCTGGCATTGTCAGATCGCCGTCCCAGCGGATGCTTCAAACCGGCACACGATCCCGATCCTTTCTCACCTTGTTCCGTCTGTTGATGCGTGGATATCGACGCAGAAAGGGTACGTCGGGAGGCAGACCTCTGGCCCATCCCTCCCTCGCGCTTGATAAACGGAAAGTAAGACCGCGATCCCGATGACCTCCCCTCCTCCAGTCGATTCCCATCGGAGAAGACGCCATCATTCCCGCCAAAGCTCTGTGTTGCTGTCGCCAAGCTCGTCTTAACCGCAGCCACAGAAGCACGCACCATAGCTCAAAATCCTATTTTCCACCACCTCCCTCCTTCCTCCACTACCGTTCGGTTGTGCTTTCAACAGCTCTCGCGCGCCCACGACGCACTCAACAAATCTAACTCGCCTCTGCTATCCCCATGCTTGCCCTCCTCCTTCAGAGTCGTCTGTATTGCCTTCAGAACTCTTCCGGCGACACCCTCTTCGAAATGGCGGGCAGATTCACGTGAAGAGCTCCCAGTGTCAGAATGCTCTTAGGGTATGACTGCACTACCCCCTTTCTCGAACGCTCGAGTACAACGGTAGTACAACGGTGAGGACCTTTTTTGGAAAAATAGTTCGCAGCCAAAGGCTGCGTCTTACCCCGTTGCACTTTGTCCTGTAGCGGGGCTCTCCTCAAAAAGAATGTCGACGACCTGTTAACGGGGTGTATGGGCAAAAAGAATGTCGACGACCTGTTAACGGGGTGTATGGGGCGTGGAGAAGGTGCGCACCGGTAGCCGAAACGGTCGGCTCAGAGGTTGGAGCGCGGGCGACCAAGGGCAGGTTGCATAGGTCGTTGTTTGGCCGGTAGCGGAAACGGTCGGCTCAGAGGTTGGAGCGCGGGCAACCAAGGGCAGGTTGCATAGGGGCAGGTTGCATAGGTCCTTGTTTGGCCGCCCGGCCTTTCCTATTTTGGGGTGGACTTATTTTTTTCGTTTCTGCCTTCGTTTTTGAAGGACGGGGGGGGGGGGGGGGTTGTTTTGGGGCAGGCGGGGTCCAGTAAGTGATAAGTGATGGAAGGGATGGCCAAACGCCCTCGCTCCACCACTGTGCAAAATGTGATGTGAATGAAGGCATTCTCGAAATTTGCAAAATGGGAATGAACTTCTCGGTAGAACATGGCCAGATGCACCCGCCACATTTCTTTCTTTCACATTTCGAGAGTGGTGTGGCGAGGCCCAAAGTCAACGGCGGTCGATCTATGGTGGTGGAGGCGGGAGGAGTGAGAAAAGGGCCACCTCGCATGTCCTGCTCCTCGTTCCCGTTTGGCTGTGCTCCCGTGCCCTGCGCGGTACACAGTGGTAACCAATTGGCCGAGCTCCAGGCATACTCAGGGCATACTCACACTAGTGGGTTTTTTGGCTAAATCGCAAAATCCGCTATGTTGTTAGAGTCACACTAGGGTTTTTCGACCACCAAAGTTGCAAACGGGGTAGCATTTGTCAGCGCCCTAGGGGGCTGCGGGGATGGGCGTTTTGCTACCACCTCGAGAGGTGGTGGCAAATTCTTTTTTGGTTGTGATAAAGGGCCTCGCTGCTCTACTCTCCAAATGTGCAAAATAAGACTGAATTCACCGCTAGAACATGGAACGATACATTGCCATCTTTTTTGTCTTTTGTGCATCTGGAGAGTAGTGCAGCGGGGCCCAAATTCTCTTTCCCTATTTGGGAATTGTGAAAAGCAAGGTTGTCGGTGCTCGGGACGGGCCGAACGCCCAAACCTGAACCCCCGAACGTTCAGCACCCCCTCTCGAGCGTTCGGCCTTCGACAGAACGAGGACCCCCCCAAAAAAAACAAAAAAAACAAAAAGAATTTTAAAATATCTGAAAAAAATATATGTTATGCATAAGAATAAACTAAACAACGTTTGCATCAATGTTACATCCGAGTTTTTTACCAAATTTGAAATAAAAATCAAATAATAAAATAAATAATAATAATAAAAAATAGAAAAAATAAAATGAGAATAAAATTATTGAGTCGGCGAGGCACGTTTTTGACACCGCCATCTTTGGGGATTTTTCATTTTTTTTTTTTGGTTGTGACAAATGCTATGAAAATTTATATATGTGTATCTTACATAATAGAAAATCTACAAATAAAGTTTGAAAAAATAATATTATTTTTCATGCCCCGAAATAAACGAAAAACAAAAAGCGAAAAGAAAAGAAAAAAAATTAGTGAGTGGGCAAGAAAGTTTTGACACCACCATCTTTGAGGATTTTTCATTTTGTTTTGGCTGGAAAGAATGGCTTCAAAATTAAGAGGGAGATACCTTACACCACAAAGAACTCACAAAAAAAATGCAGAAAAAAATAATGATACTTAGGTGCCAAAATATTTTTTTACGGGGTCCAAACCCCTTTAAGTTTGAGGCCCGTACGGGGACCCGAACGCTCGAACGTTCGGATGTCGGCTTAGGGCCCTCCGTACGTTCGGCCTGACAACCCTGGTTAAAAGAAAAGTTTCGCGCTTTGTGACCATGAGAGACACCAATTTTGCAATTGCCAAAGAGTTCCGCTGTCAGGGCAGAAACCCTGACCAGGATATTTGCCCGATGTTTTTAAATGTCGGACGGTGTTTGACAGAGTAAAGGGTTATCTGGGTTCCATAACTTGATGAGATGGGTTATCTGCCGGAAGTTTCTTCAGACCTGACCTATGACTGAGAGACTAAATTTTTTTTAGCTTCAGTTCGGACACGTGTGACGTCCGAGAGTAAGGACAGTAACTGACAATGCTTCGTTTTTTTGAAGTCGCAGGGAGCGCAGATATGGAAAGACAAAAGTTAAACATATTCTACCAACCGCGCGATTCAGGGTTTAGGTAGGCGAAAAAGAACAATCGCGCTAGGGGTGGGGCTACGGCGCGGAAGGAATAGAAAAAAGGGCTTTATTTCCTGGGTCCGCCAGGTTTGACTTCGAACCAGGGGCCAACAGGCCAATATCGGGCCTATCGGTTAGATGGCGGGGCGATCGTTGTTTGGCAAGGTGAGTCAGATAGAGCCTGCCCTAGCCTGTAGTTGGCGGACCTACTGAGAAAAACCCTTCATATAGAAGGGCTGCTCTTTCTATACCAGATGCAGGAGCTAGCCCAGTAGGTATCATGTCAGACTTCCACCCTGCAGGCACGAGGATCGAATCTCACTAGTTGTTGGGCTAACTCCTTTGTCGAGCTGCCCTGTTTGGGTTTTGGCGTAACCCGGTTGATTTCGACCGCACGATCTCTGTGATCGCACGACCGAGATCGTCCGCACGTGAAGAAGCTGTATGGCCGATGTGCAAGGATGACACGCATAAATCGAGAAATATCTCGAGTCTTTCACGACTCGAACTTGGATCTGTATCCCAACAGTTCGTGGGTGTTCCACGATAAAGGGGTGACCGTTGGCTTTAGCCAACGAAGAACGAAAAAAACGAAAAAAAAACTAAAACTGAATTAACCGTGAAGCGACAGATGTCGCATTCGGAAGTGACTGGGGCATTTCAACCCCAATGCACTTGACAATCGCCCGTGAAAACGGGCGACCGTTTTTCTGCAGGAGGTAATGTGTTTTTCTGTTTTCCTTTTTTTTTTCTTCCTCTTCTTTTCTTTAGATTTCTTTAGATATTTATTGTTAGATTTTGTTTAGATTTTTCTTTTCTTTTGTTGTTCTTTTTTTTTTCCTTCTTCGTGCCTCGTTGTTCTATGAAGCACTAAGCACCCGTTCGTTTCGGACGAACAGGTTGTAATACTAAAAAAAAAAAAAAAAAAAAGTATGATTGTGACAGACTGTTTCGTCGGACCTTACCGACTTGCGCCCGACGTCCATCTCTTGATGGACGTGACCCAATGGATGTGGCGTGTTAAACGGCCAAACCTGGTAACGTGGGAGTCAAGGTGAGCGCACATTTAGAGGAGTAGAGGAAGACGGGGGGGAAAAATGAAAAAAAAAAGAGACACCGCGAATTTGATCGTGACGTCGGACCAGATGCAGGGGCAAAAGCATCTGGACCTTGACGAGACAACAAACTGTTGAGTCCAACAGTCTGCTAGAAATGACTTGATACAACCATTTTAGACTGCGTCTGGCCGCGGGTAAAGGTCAAATGCATCATCAGGGCCGAAAACTTGGTTCCTCTAGGGGGACATCAAGGTTTCCAGCCCTTGATCTCGTCTGAGATCAAGGGCCTGACACAAACGGTTATCGGGTAGCTGAAAATTCAGGAATGAAAATTATGAAGTGAGAGTTTTGGGCAGTCTGAAAATCTTGAATGGTCCTGAAGTGGTGAAAGGTCCGAAGTCCCTGAAAACCACTTGTTTAGACAGGTTGCATCCTGAAGTAGTGAAGAGTGTCCTGAAGTGGTCAAGTGAGGGTTTTGGGCTGTCTGAAAATCATGAATGGTCCTGAAGTGGTGAAAGGTCCGAAGACCATGAAAACCACCCTTCACCACTTGAGGATGCTGCCTGCCTAAGCAGGTGGTTTTCAGGGTCTTTAGAGCTTTCAGCACTTCATGACCATTCAAGATTTTCAGACCTGAATGGTCCTGAAGTGGTGAAAGGTCCGAAGACCCTGAAAACCACCTGTTTGGGCAGGCTGCATCCTGAAGTGGTGAACGGTGTCCTGAAGTGGTGATGAAAAATACGACTGTTGTTAACGTTCTTTCGGGCCAGACCCTGATCCGAAATTTTGGCTGGGGCCAAAGCTGCTGCCCTCATCCCTCAGTTGGCTATAGAGGCAGCCAGCAACCAGCCAACCAGCATTCATTTGTGACTGATGTTGCTGGCATTCCACTTGGGTGAGTGCTGGCTGCTTGAGGAGAAGCAGCTGGCTGGAGTAGAGAGTGGGGAGAAGGTGGAGAGTGGAGGCAGCCATAGCCACCACTTCACTTGGTGAAGTGTTGAGAAGGTGTTGTTCGTTCAAAGCGGCATTGGTGACCATTTTCTGTACGGTGTAGAGGTTATGTTGCACATGACAATTATAATTGGAGAAGTGTTGGGTAGATGCTGCGCAGTTTTTGCGGCAACGACAATTTTTTTGTTGACATACTGCGGGAGCGCTGCCGGATTTTTTCGGTGGCAGCTGTGATTTTTGGGGCAGTGACACAGGAACGCTGCCGAAGTTTTCGGTGGCAACTGTGATTTTTTTTTGTCGTGACGCGGAAGCGCTGCTGGATTTTTGCGGCGGTGACAGTGGTGCGAAAGTGTTGCCAGTTTTTCAGGGCAGTGGTGACAGTATTTTTGCGCTGACTACATGAAGCTGTTGCTGGGCATTAGTGCAGGGAAGGTGCCACTGAAGTGGTAGTGTGTTTTGAAGTGGCGTGAGCGTGGCGCCGCAATGACGCGGTGACATTGGAGGCGAGTGACGGCGGTATTGAGATGCTGTCAAGTTGTTGGGGGTGAATGTGTCTTGAGAGAGTAATGTGGTAGGTAGTCGTCTCAAGGGAGTGGTGTGGATCACTTTGTTGACGACTTGTTGCGACAACCTTCTCATCTAAGGGCGTGATTCCATACGGTCTTTGAGTGGACCATCTCTCAAACTTTACTCAAAGTCGGTCAATTGATTGACTTAAATTTCCCCTTCACACCTGTGTGAACCCAC